CAGACGTTTTTTAAAAAGAGCCTCCCCTTGGGCGCCTTCTATTTATGGCAAGTTTGAAAAGAAAGAGCATGGGGATAGGCGCCATCTATTGCAATGCGCCTCCCTCCTAGAAATTTAATTAATTATTAATTAAAAATTTATATATTTAATAAGTTAGTATGTATTATAAATAAATATGTTTAAAAATATTAATAATATTTACGAATTAAATATATTTTTATTAACTAATTTGAATAAATATTATTTGTATGTATAACTTAAATATTAGAAGAGAAAAATATATAAGTTTAAATTAAGTTTAATAATTTTTAAAATTAATAACATAGAAAATTTGTTAATTAAATTATTAATCATAATAAGTTTAATATTATTAAATATAAATGATTATGAATTGTTGTTAAAAAAATAAGAATAAAAATACAAAAATAGATAAAAGTTATTCCATTGTAAATATAATTAATATATTTAATACATACTAATTTATTAAATTTAGTAATTATAAAGATATTTTAATTGTATATATTATTAATATTTTTAAACACACACATATAAATATAACTTATTATAATTATTATTTATTACGTTTCTAATTTATTATAAATATAACTTATTAAAATTTTTATTTATTAACATTATAACTTATTACATTTTTATTTATTAAATTAAAAATTAACTTAATTTTTTAAAATATTAATAATTTTTTTTATTTAATTATTACATACTTTTAAATTGTTTAAAATTTAGTTCCGGGGACCGGGGGGAGGCGCATTGCAACAAATGGCGCCTACTTCCCATGCTCTTTCTTTTCAAACTTGCTATAAATAGAAGGCGCTTAGGGGGAAGACTCTTTCTAAAAAACGCCTGCCCCTGCTCCTGCTCCTTCTTCTCAAAGTGTAGCAGCTGCCACATCAGCAACTAAAGGCGCCTGGGGGAAGGTTTTTTATAAAAAATGCCCACCCCCATGCGTTTTTCATGCCACGTGTACTTCTATGTGTCCAAAATCACCTATTTCAGTAAATAGTTTTTTTAAAATTTATTTTTATGTATTTTTGATTTTTTTTTAATTTAGTGGGGTCAAAAAGCCGACGATATGATATGATTGTGGAGCGTGGCCGGTGTCCATGGTGATCATCACTACAGCCTAGGCGGCAAACTTGAATATCACGAACAGATGCAACTACACGGTGTGGGTGGCCCTCATGCCCAAAAGTGCCACAAGACTGAACCCTAACGAATCATGGAGCCTCAACGTGGCGTATGACACTGAAAGAGGATGCACCTTCAACAGTACATGTCTAACCAGTGACTGCAACAGTATGTTCACGTGCAACAAAATGGCTGGTGGAATTCACGTAACAATCTCGACTTCTACGATCTTCCTCATCCACGGTTTCAACATTCCCATGCAATTGAGCCCCTCCTACAGTTGCAGCTCCGTTCAATGCGCCGTCAACATCACTCGGAAACAAGGCTTTTTAATTACCATAAGGATAAAAGTTAATTTTCAAATTTCAATATAATTTTTAGTTAATATATTATTTTAATAACTCAGATAATTTACCACACTCATTACATATTTTGGTGATAACCCATGAACCACTTGATTTGGTAGTCACAATAGATTTTGTCATCTTACTTTTTAACCAAAGAAAATCTTAATACGAAAATTTTGGTAATTTCATCTTATAATGAGTTTCTCCTACGCTGGGAAGAGTCTCGGGCAGTAATCAACTCCACTCAAAATGATGGTATTGGAAGCATATGCGCTAAGCTAACTCCTTGAAGTTGGAAGCATTAGTTCAACACACCGTTTCTCTTATGGCCGCGCTTTCATATCAACCTTTCTTCGCTCTTCAGAGAATCACTTCCACCGACGCCAAAACCAACAACGCCTTCTTCATTCGCCCGCGTCCTTCCGTTCCTCCCTGGCCTCGCTTGCCACGACGTCGTTGCACGCCGCGCTTCGTTACCTCCGCCTCCGTTAAGGTGCGTTTGCGCCCTGCGCCCCTAACCTGTTCGACGAAATGTCCTAATTACACGCTACCTCACTTTCTTCCTTGTAGGAAAATCTCGGTGGCGTTCAAAAGCGTTTCACCGACTTCACGAGCTTGAACTACTGGGTTGTTCGCGACTACTACCGTCTTGTCAGCTCCGTCAACGCCTTCGAGCCGCAGATTCAGGCGCTCTCCGATGAACACCTGGCCGCCAAAACCCCCGAGTTTCGCCGCCGCCTCGAGCGAGGGGCTACGCTTGCCGATATCCAAGCTGGTTCGTTACTCTTTTACGCTTTTGCGTCATTGCTCGATTGGTCTCTAAACTGTGTTTGTGATGTAATTAATGTTTCAGAGGCTTTCGCTGTTGTTCGTGAAGCTGCATGGAGGAAACTCGGAATGCGCCATTTCGATGTTCAGGTCTCTCATTCTATCATTGTCTTGCATGTGTATATGTATCGTATTCTGTTTTTTGCGTGTTTAGTTTAGACTCCCTTGCTAGGTCACTGACTTGTCGCTGATGAAAAATTGGTGGTGTTAGATTATTGGTGGAGCGGTGCTGCATGATGGTTCCATTGCTGAGATGAAAACGGGGGAGGGTAAAACCTTGGTTTCTACGCTAGCGGCTTATCTTAATGCGCTGACCTCTGAGGGTGTTCATGGTATGTCTTGTTGCCAACACAATGAAAGTTTGGATAGTTTAGGGAATTTCTTCAGGTGGCAGCACTTGGCTATACGAGACTGATCCTTGATTTCATTGCAGTGGTAACTGTCAATGATTATTTGGCTCAACGTGATGCTGAATGGATGGGGCGTGTTCATCGTTTTTTAGGTCTCTCCGTTGGTCTTATTCAGGTTATTTTCATCTGCTGTTAGTAAAATCTGTTTTCATCTGCCAAGCGGTTGGTGGTCGGATAGATTAGAGCACGGATTTTAATGATATTATGTACAAATAGGGTGGGGCTGATATTGATGTTCTTTATTAATCTGTGAGCTTTATTATCTGATGTTTATATGCAGAGAGGAATGAATTCCGAAGAACGGAGATTCAACTACAGATGCGATATAACATATACCAATAATTCGGTAATTACATTTTTCAGTTTCTTGTATTGTTTCTTTCTAGTTGTATACTTTTTTTATTTTTTATTTACTTTAATTATTTTCTTTTGTTCCTTTTTGTGATTTGTCCCTTTCTTACCTTAGGAGCTTGGCTTTGATTACTTGCGGGATAATCTTGCTGGAACTAGAGAACAGCTTGTAATGAGATGGTAGCGTGTATTACTTGGATAGAACTAAGTGGTTTTTCTTTTGGTTTGGAATATGTTTGGTTTCCTTGTGACTATTTTACATGAAAGCAGGCCAAAACCCTTTCATTTTGCAATAGTTGATGAAGTGGATTCTGTCCTGATAGACGAAGGAAGAAATCCTTTGTTAATCAGTGGTGAGGTAAGCTTAACATTCATTTTTTTAGTTGCTTCTTTAGGTCCTCATCATCTTCATCCTCATCCTCATCCTCTTTCTCTTTTTCCATATCCAGGTTGGCAGTATTTAAAAAAAAATCATTTCAACTGATCAAGTTCAATGATATATGATTCACGCTTCTCCTTCTTTATCACAGGCTAGTAAAGATGCTGCACGATTCCCTGTTGCTGCAAAAGTAGCTGAACTTCTTATACAGGGCATTGTGAGTGTCATTCTCTTGACTTTATTATGTAATTTACTCTGTTTTTCTCCCTTTATCCATTCCAAGAACTTTAGTTTGTGCAGATAATTAAAGAACACAGTTTGATACACTGATTTTATTTTATTATCAGCATTACAAAGCAGAGCTTAAAGATAATTCTGTGGAGTTGACTGAGGAAGGAATTGCTCTTGCTGAAATGGCTCTTGAAACTAATGATCTTTGGGATGAAAATGATCCCTGGGCCAGGTGATTATTCTTATACTTTGATAATTTGTTGATTTAAATAGGCTGAATATTCTTATCCCTGGGCATTTCACTTTGGTTGGTGTTTACTTGTTTTGTAATACCAATGGTTGCTTGGTGAAAAGTAGGCCGACATTAAAATCAGCAAATCTTTATTAATTTTTTTAATGGTGCTCTCTCTTTTTGATGAATGGTATAACCTTAATATTGCAATGGCCCGCTAAACAGTAAAGTACAGTTTACATTTTTCCTTTTCCTTTTCAATGATAAAAGAATAAATTTATTAAGTCAAAGATAATAATATTACAAAGGGAAAGGAGGATAAGAAATCTTCTTTTCAAAAAGAGAATAGAAAATGAAAACAAAACAAGAAACATCAGACATTAATACAGTAAGGCCACCTGATCCCTCAACATATCCGTAAATGACACCCATGTAAAAAGATCAAGTGCTTTACATTTTTCTCTATTTTACAACTTATATTTTGTAATTATGATTTGTTTGGGTGCATACTTTGCTACAGATTTATACCAGTCTTTTATATATAAATTAGAATAATTTTCTTGAACGAAAACATTTTTAAGGGTATTATTCAACAAGAGTGTTTTTATGGTGTTTTTTAAACGAAAGTATTTTTAAGGATTTTTTTTGGATAACATGGTATTAGTACAAAATATTCACCGTTGGAAGCATTGATTAATCTTTGTTGAGAACCGTGAACTCATAAAAGATGAGTATTCCCCCATTATAATCTACTCCATACCCAAGGTCAAGATTCGAATCCTGGATATTGGTTTTATGAATATTGGTGTGTTAATGAATATTGGTTTTATGAATTTTTCTTAATCTATTATATTTTTCAATCTATCATTTTAACCTTTATTTTTAAATTAAATTTCATTTTAATAAATTATCAGTAGTTAAAAGCAACCTTGTACCACAATATAATTTGTTTAACATAAATCTGAAATATAATTTATTTGTTCAAAAATATTTATTTATTAAAAATTTAATTATAATATAATGTATATATTCATAAATATTTATTTGTTATAAAATTTAGTTATATCAAATAAACATTTATCATGTTTATTTGCACAAGGTAAAGTACTAGTTTATCATAATCATTATGGTTACACTTATTGAATATTGGCTGCTTTATGGGAAGTTTCTGGCTAACTTGTTATAGTTGGATTGTTCCTGTCCAATCAGTTACATGTGTAAAGAGTTGTGTTACTGCAGATTTGTGATGAATGCTTTAAAAGCTAAAGAATTCTATCGCCGAGACGTGCAATACATTGTTAGAGATGGGAAGGCTTTGATTATCAATGAGGTAATATTTTCAAGGCTTCTTTTTATTTCAATATTATGCCCTTTTTATTTCAATATTACCTATGAAAGCACAGACCAGCAACATAACACGACACGGACACATCAGATCCAAAAAATTGTAAGACATGGCACAAACACAACGTCAGAAATGACTTTTTGAGCTGGTTGTCAAATACAAGGTTAATGGGGACATGAAGTTACTTTTACTCCTTGGTTCTGAATATAGTAGATATTTAAATTTAAAAACTGGATATTTGGAGGACAAACATCAGTTGTGATGCCACATATTAGATCTTTTGCTTTTGAAAATTCATTATAGGCAAAACTCTTGTGGCTACAATACAGTGCTTTGCTTTTAAAGATTCAGAGAGGGGGTTGGATGGCAACAATCAATTAGTTGAAGTAGAGAAAAATTGAACTTAATATATCCATACAATTCAGTGTTGTTTTGTTTTACAAACATGTACTCTGAAACGTGATTTGCTGTCATAGTCTCTTTATTTTTCCAAAATTCATATGCAATATGCTTTGATTTTACAAATTATGCATTTGTCTACAGAACTGTGAAAATATTTAAAATTGTAGTGTTTATATTTGATATGTAGAGAGTGCTAGCAACACACTTTCTAATACATTCATCTAAATAAACTCTTTCTTATTGGTTAGAATTTATTAAAAATCGCAAAATTAGGAGAGAGAGAGAGAGTTATTAAATATGGTGTAAGATCCACAAATTTTTGTGTTTTCCAATAAATTTCAACCAATCAAAAGAGTGTTCAAAAGAGTGTGTTTCTAGCATTTCTCTTGATATGTATACACGCATAACTTCGTATGAGATATGTTGATTTTAAATAAATGTAGTGGAAACTGGGCTAACCATAGGGTCTTTTAGAATGGTAACAAACTCCACTTGGGACTACTGATTGTTGGCTGAAGTTCAATTTAATCTTGATAGATATATCTCCTCCACTCCCCTGCCACTTCCCAAAAAAGAAAACACAAACACACACATACACACACAATTTGTAGATGTTGGTACAACTTGAACAATGATATGATTGCCTCGATGTGGCCATGTGGCAGTGCTAACTTATGTGCAGTACTTAGAATTTAATTTTCATGAGGGATGTATATTTTTCCCATATGTTATGCTGGGAAACATGTCTATAACCTAATTGGAAGTTATATTGAGCTTCTGATTCATGAAATTGTTTGACATGATATTTGAATTTTATTTAAGATGCCATGCTTCTGCCTTCTTACATGGACACTGTTATGTGATTTAGGACAGTGGAAGGTTTATGATATGAATATGCTAAGTTGGGTAACTTAGGTATTTTTTGGGACAAACCAAAGGTAGTGTTAAAGATCTCACATAAACGAATGATATAGTAAAATTTAATGTATTTAGTTTTCATTTAATAATTAAACAGATACTTTTTCATTTCGTTTTGTTTGCTGATACTGTTATTAAGAATCTGATGATATGATGAACAAAATTTTGAAAATTTCTCAGCTGACAGGAAGAGTTGAAGAGAAAAGGAGATGGTCTGAGGGTATTCATCAGGCTGTGGAGGCAAAGGAAGGTTTGAAGATTCAGGTATATACGAGGGTGCTTTGATTTTGTTATTTTGTATTATGACACTTGTTTTATCATAGTTAATTGATTCTAAATTTCAATGCTTCAAACCTGCACAGGCAGATTCTGTTGTTGTAGCACAGATCACATACCAGTCATTATTCAAGCTCTATCCAAAGTTGTCAGGAATGACTGGGACTGCCAAAACAGAAGTAAATATATATATTTTGTTCTGCATTACATTTGAGTTGTCATTACTATCATAATTTCTGCTACTATAAGTTCATGATGACCATATATATCATTGCAGGAGAAAGAGTTCTTGAAAATGTTTCGAATGCCAGTGATTGAAGTGCCCACAAATCTTCCTAATGTTCGAAAAGATTTGCCTATTCAAGCTTTTGCTGTAGGACATTTAAGATTCATTACTGTTACTAAATTTCTAGTTTCAATACAATTATTTTTCGGATAGAACTTACATGCACTACCACAGGTGTTGCTTTCCAATCAGAATTGGAATTTCATCACAGTAATATGCGTAATAAAGATTTCATTAAATGTCATTGCATATTTCTGAGATAAAACTTCAATTTTAAGAGAACAATACCTATGGTATTGTATCTAAGTTTTATCCTTATTTTTCCATGACAGTAAATCATTATTTTATTTAATTGTATGATTTTTATATTAATGTATTATTCAAGACTGCTCGTGGGAAATGGGAGCAAGTTCGTCGAGAAGTTGAATATATGTTTAGACAAGGTCGTCCTGTCTTAGTTGGGACAACTAGGTAATTGTTATGGCTGTTCTAATGGATGTTGTCTATCACAGAGTCATGTTTTTCATTCTTTTCTGAACAAATGATCATTACACAATACTTCTTTGAGCCCAAAGCTCTGAAGCACTTGATAAGTTCTGTTGAATAAGGAAGAACTTACATATATGCTTGCCTTTTCTTCAGGGAAATCTTGTTGATAGATAAGCACAGGGACTGGAGAGTTATATTGTTTCTTGAACTTGCATGTTATGTCTTTATGTACCATTTAAAATGGGTATTTTGTTGTACATCAAATTTATACTACCTTTACTATTACAAAATTCCTTTTTTATAAACAAATAAATGAATAATTAAGAATTACACACTGTTTAATGTTGAATGTTACAAATTTTACATTAACTTCCATGTTTTTCGTGTCCATATTGTTAAAAGAAACCATTGGAAAAAACCTTGAATGCTTCATTGTAAAGTTTGGTTTTTATTATAGCTCAATGTCGATATTAATCCATGTTGACAACTTGCTCTAATGGGATAAATCTTGGTTGTTGTTATGGTGTGTCCATATCTCATTATTTGTTGATCAATATTGAGCAGGCTAAAATTTATATTTTTATGATCTTGACTTTTTGACCTCAAAGTCAATCAATTGAAAGAAAGTTGAATTTTTAAATATTAATGATGGCACAGTTTTTGCAAGAAATTATTAGTGTCATTGGTAGAGATACAAACCATTATTAGGTCTATTGCTAATAACTTAAGCTTTTAGTGGGTGTGATTATTGAAATGGTATAAATTCAGCTGACAACTTAAGCTTCAGCCATGTTTCTAATGTCCCTATGGCCTTATCGGGAAAAACTCAAGTCTTGCCTATCTTAGACATTAAAAAGGATCATTTACCATTTATCCACGTACGAAGTCCAATAGTACTGGGCATGAAAGTGTGTATTTGGAAAAATCCAAGTCTCACATCAACTAGAGATAAGACAATTAAATAGTATATAAGTGAGGGCAACCCCTCACCTTACAAGCTGGTTTTGTTGCGTTGAGGTAGGCCCATAACCCACATTCTAAGAGGTCTATACACAAACTTTTGGGGGATTTGGTTCTTGACATCGATCTTCTCTATCTCTCTCTCTCTCTCTCTCTCTCTCTCTTTCTTTTAACTTTATTATTGAAGAAATGAAATTTAATTTGCTTAGGTTTTGATGATTACATGTATCCGTGATAGTGCATGTCTTTTCAGTTGTCTAGCTTTAAGTGTTTTCTATTTTACCTACCTTCGTTTAAATTAAGCTACCTGTTCCCTCATCATCATCATACTTATTTGCTGTATCTTGTCATAATCAAATATTTACCGTGGACGGGTTATATATTACTTATGTTTGTACATAAGCTTTTCAGTTATCTATATTTGAGACTTTGTAGAATGATTCTTTTCCTTTTTTTCTTTCTATATGCAGTGTAGAAAATTCAGAACTTTTGTCTGGTCTGCTTAGGGAATGGAATATTCCTCATAATGTTCTGAATGCTCGTCCCAAGGTTTGTGAAAAGTATAAATTGTTGGTATTTTCATAAGCAGATACTGTCTTTTTTCATTCATATGACCTAGATAGTGTTTCACTTTTTCAGTTTTTGCCTAACTCACTGACCCCTTCCCCCTCATTTATTTCAGTATGCTGCAAAAGAAGCTGAAATTGTTGCACAGGCAGGACGGAAACATGCCATTACCCTCTCTACAAATATGGCAGGCAGAGGCACAGATATAATCCTTGGAGGAAATCCAAAAGTAGGTGTGCCACTAAAATTTGTTATTTGTGGCTACTGTTCTGTGAAAACAATGTGAATCCTAGCATACTTTGCCTATGACTGTCTAAATGTCTAGAAAAAAATGAAATAAATTTGTATCACTTTTGCAAGTAGATGATTTTCGAGCTTAATTACATTTGTGGTCCCTCTAATTTGGGTTGTGTTGGATTTTTGTCCTCCAAGTTTTGTGTAGAGCCAATTAAGTCTCTTTTAAAAATTTAGCAAACTTGGCCCCTTGTTAATTTTTTTTCTACTCAAAACCCTCAAAATTTCATTTTCTACTCAAAATATTTACAAATTGAATCCATTACATTTTTTTTAAAAACCTACCAAACAAATATGAAATTTCACCCAAAATTAAAAGATCCTAATTTTTTCCCTCTTCAAACCCAATTTCACATCTTATAAAATCCTTCTTTTGACATATCACTTTGGCATTAGTTGGATCTTGGAAGTGGCTTCATACATTTTCTTCCTGGTATATATAGATGCTTGCCAGAGAAATTATAGAGGATAGCTTACTTTCTTTTTTGACGCAAGAGGATCCAAATGCTGAACTTGCAGATGAGTCTATTTCACAGAAGGTGATTCTGTTTGTTATTTATTGTATTTTAATTTCTTTAATTAAGCATTCAGTTTTTTATGCATCTTATAATGTAGGTGCTTCAAAAGATAAAGGTTGGATCATCATCAATGGCCTTACTGGCTAAGACAGCCTTAATGGGTTCGTGGTTCTATTTGAGAATTTTTCTCATTTCAGATGAAATTCTGTTCATTTTAGTCATAATGACATGCTTTTAACTTGAAAATGTTATATTCTTCGCAACATGAATTATTCAGCAAAATATGTATCCAAAAGTGAGGGTAAAAGTTGGACATATCAGAAGGCTAAATCTTTTATCTTGGAGGCTGTTGAAATGAGTCTTTCATACAGTTTGGAGGAGCTGGAGAAGCTTGCTAATGAGGAATCTGAGATCTACCCTCTTGGTCCAACTGTAGCACTTGCCTATCTGTCAGTTCTGAAGGATTGTGAAGAACACTGCTTGCTTGAAGGTTCCGAGGTAAAAAGGCTTGGGGGTCTTCATGTGATTGGTACATCTTTACATGAGTCCCGGAGAATAGATAACCAGGTGGGTACTTAAGCATGGTAAAAGTCTAAGTAGGAATATGTTAAATTTTGCAATTTGTTTTGCTGTATTGTTCATTAATGAGGGGGAGATGTTAAAAAGTTTGACATTCCAATATGATCCTTCTGAAATCAATTATTTAGGTAGGGAGAAAAATATTAAATTGTTTTGAATCTTAGCAAAAAGCTATTTCCCCTCAAACCCCCACTGAATTGAAGTGTGGGGATTTGAGGTGGCTGAAAGGGGGAGCAGTTCCTGTGTTATGTGAAGTATATTAGAGATATTTAACTTTGCATATGTTAATTTGATTGTGGCTGCTTTCTGAACTTGTGTTTGTGTGCCTATAGGTTCTACAGTCAGTTATATGTTAATTTTTGCAGCTTCTGTGATGTAACTCCTTGACTAATTTGGTTCCAGCTTCTGTGCTATAACTCCTTGACTGATTTGGCTACCCATACGCAAGGGATATTTTATTTTTATATTCAGTTACTGTTTGAATTATGAATAATATTAACTTGGTATCAAAATGTTATTCACTTGAATATACAAAAATATATTAGGTAGGCATAGTTCAAACATTTAATAAATATTGTCTCATGCCTCCAAAAGGATGTTCTTGGCGCTTCTTTAGAGTTTGGTACATAATATACTAAAGTTCTACTTAGCCATTATAATTTACAAACTTTTTTCCTCAATGATGAAAAGCTTATCTTCTCCATTTATTAAGAACAATTATTATTATTATTATTATTATTTGTTATTATTATTGCTGGCACATTTTTCTTTCATTTTGTTGCTTAACTTGTAATAATCTTTTCTCTAGCTACGTGGCAGAGCAGGAAGACAGGGGGATCCAGGATCAACACGATTTATGGTTAGGTAATCATAGTTGACTTCTGCCTACAGTTGCTGCTGTTATTACTTGATGATTTTTATATACATACAAGTCTAAACAGGTCTTGTCAGTCTTGCTCATAGACAAAATATTATTTTGACCTTTATTCATGACATGATAGAATTGTGTAAATAAATTACTATGCTAGTTACTATAAGTTTAAGATTGTTGTTATATTTGCTGATTTATTTCAGAGCTGATAATCAACACTGTTGGTGCAAGAACACAATTTTTTGGTTGATATGGGATGAAAGGAATTGGAAGATCCCATTAGAAGTTTAGTTTCCTTGTGTGCATTTAAAGTTTCTTTCAAAATACAACACAATACAACTTACAACAAACAAAAAGTTGTTGTTATTGTGATTAATTGATAAGAGACCAATGATGAAGAGGCTGTATGTAAGATATAGAAGGGGAAACACAATTCTAACTGAATAGTCTTTAAATAGGGAAGGGAGTTAGTTGGAGGTTCGGAAGTTATTCATAAGTTGTTAGGAGATATCTCTTGAATACCTCATTTTATTTCTGTGGTTGTATTGATATTTGATCAGCAAGATTACTCAATAATACACAGGCTTATGCCTAAATTCTTTCCAGTCTGTTCAATCTTTCTATCATATTAGTTGGAACTTATCATTAATATACTGTCTTTTTATTTAACTATTGAAGTATAAATTTGGATTGGTGTCTTAATTGTTTTTTTTGTGCTTAAATTAATAACCTTGAGTTTTATAGCTGAATTGTTGAATATTCTTTGCTGCTTTTGTAATTTCTGAGAGGAGCTGGATGATTGGGTATGTGATTTACTAATTAAGGGCTGTCAGCCAGTTCTCACGCTATCTCCTCATGTTATAGCTTGCAGGATGAGATGTTCCAGAAGTTCAATTTTGATACTGAATGGGCAGTGAGACTTATCTCAAAGATTACGAATGATGAGGATCTGCCAATTGAGGGTGATGCAATTGTAAAGCAGGTTATTATCTATTTATTTATATTATGATTGATATAATATTTTATTCAAGAAGAATGTCTTAGGGTGCGTTGATGGTGGGCAGGTGGGGGAAGGGGGGAGAAATTGGGATAGTGCGATGAAGTACTTGAGTAACAGAAAATTGAAAGTAGAAAACCAAACAACTTAAAGATATTCTGTTATTTTTGTTTTTATTTTATCTTTATTTTTTAAATCTGAGAAGTATTACTTTTGAAAACAACTTTCAAAAACTATTCTTAACAAACAATTTTTTTTCTTGCTTTTAAAAACATAAAAAACGGCTTTCAAGAATAGGAAATAAATAGGTAATTAACCCTGCTTCATGAAGAAATTTCTTCTTTTATAACCAATACAGTAAAATATTTTGATTTCATTCTATTTATATATTTGCTTTTCTCATGTGGTCATTTTTCGTAAATTTTATTTATTCATATATTTGTCTCACGTTGTGTTTGATGAATGTCATCTTTCCAATACTAACTGGGACCATCACATATTTATAGCTTTTGGCGCTGCAAATCAATGCAGAAAAGTTCTTCTTTGGCATACGAAAGAACCTTGTTGAGTTTGATGAAGTATTGGAGGTATGTTTCTATTGTGATAACATTTAAAAAGCACACTCGAGCCAGGTAATTAGTTAGATGTTATTTGGTGTCTATTGTATAACTAGTATTTTAACACATGCTATGTACATAATAAATTTTTATTTTATGTAACTAAAATATATATAAATATAAATTATATTGTAATTACTATTTATAATAAATAAATGTTTTTATCTTATAAATTATATATTTTAGATTTATAATAAATAATTTATATTGTAATACAATGTTACTCTTAACTATTGATAATTTATTGTAAAAAGATATTAAAATCAAATTTAGAAATAAAAATGAACATGGTAAGTTAAAAGAGATAACAAATTAAGAAAAATTCCTAAAAAATGCTTATGTTAAAGAAAACAACTAAAAATGCTCTCATTGAAGAATAACACTCTAAAAATGTTGTTGTTCAAATTAATTATTCTAATTTATAATATCCTATTCTCTAAAGGGAAAACAGATAGAGTTTGACACATTTTCCTTGTCATTCTTTGTTACTTGATTTCATTTTCCTTCTTTCCAAACCTTTGAAATGAATGTAAAGAAACTGATTAAATGAACTAAGACAAACTCGAACTCTGAATACCAAGAAGAGTTTATTCCAAAGGAGTCAGATAGCTTGGCTGTGGAGAAACAAACAAGGCAGTGGCACAGTTTCAGACTCAGATCTACATGACACATATATCAGTGTAGAGAGAGAAAGCTATATGAGGCCATCTAACCTGCTACATGTCATTAGCATCAATAAAAAAGCTTTGGCCCTCAATGTAGCTTCAGAATTCCAAATTGGCATATCCAAGGCAAACATCCACCTTGTCAGAGAATGTTTGTGGAACTGAAAGTAAGATCTGCATGAAAAAACACCAGTAAAATCTTGGTTCCATATTCTCATATCAAGATTAGACGGAAAAGGAACAGAGTCAAGTAAGGCCAAAGGGGGCTGAAGTTCATTAGCTTCTTTAACATTTGGGTTTCTTTAAAAAATGGAAATTCCAGGAGCATAAAGAATCATGTAAAATTAACAAATCTTTGATAGGAGAATTGTGAACAAAATGGACAAGGAAAACTTTAAAGAAAGGGACATCACCCTAAGTATTCTCCCAACATCCAATTCTTGAATCATAAAATGAAATAATCATTGCAAAAAAATTTCCAAGGACTGATGTGAGTCACATTCATGAATGTTTAAGCTTGTGGAATTGAAGCGGGTAACTTGATGTTGGAGATCTCATATTGATGAGACCATAATAGTGTATATAAATAAGGACCAATCCTCATCTTACAAACCACTTTTGTAAGATTAAGCTAGGCTCCTAACCCACTTTCTTAAGATGGTATCAAAGTCTATAAACTTCACGTTTGAGATGTTCATACCTTGGTGTGAGGGGGTATGTTGGAATCCCATATTGACTAGAGATAAGGCAATAATAGTGTATATAAATGGGTAATAATTCTTACCTTACAAGCTAGTTTTGTAAGGTTGAGTTAGACGCCTAATCTACTTTCTTAAGACTCAATTTATATGTCTATCTAAAATCTTTTAAGATAGTAAAATGCTTGTTACATTAAACTTGAAAGTAGTAGATCATGCTCTTTTTTCCTTGAGTAAAATTTCACCCTTATTTCTAAAACATAACTTGTGGAATTTATCTTGAAGTCTGCAAAATCTTTATCAACTAATTTGCTTTTGTATTTGTTATTGTATAAGGTGCAACGCAAGCATGTTTATGATCTAAGGCAATTAATCTTAACAGGAGATGATGAAAGCTGTTCCCAACACATATTCCAGTGAGTGCCTTTAAATTCTCAATCATGCCTGTTAGAATTAAATGTTAGATTTAAGCACATATATAATGGCTAGTTTAAGCTATTACTGACTTGTAGGTGATTCTATAATATTAATTAGCTCAACTTTATGTAATTAATACTGTACATAGCATAAAAATTTACCTCTGTGGACTGAGTAGATTTAGACCCACACAGTTTTACTGCAAAACCTCTTCTAAATCTACAATGCCTAGTTTCCTACTCTCTCGTGCCTATCCCATCTGATAATATCTATTAGGAATGACGAATCATGTTCTGTTAGGGTGTTCCAATTAAGTTTTTGTATTATTGATACTATTCACAGTATTGTGATGACACATCACTTTTTTCATTTTGATCTTTAGCTATTATTCAGGTCCATTTATTTTCAGTTTTAACTTTGATGGCCCTTGATATGAGTCACTACCCTGGCCTGAAACAGTTCTTTCTTTTTGTCCTTGTTTTGGCACTAACCTAATTCTAATTTCCTTTAATCATTAAAATTCCTACCAAGTCCTAACCTACACCATTAACACTGTCCTGATAGTATGATTTTAATTATAACTTTACCTCCAGAGTTTGAGTCATTGGGGCTCAATAAGTAAAATAAGAAGTGATTGAAATTATCACTTAATAAAGCACTGCTCTGAGATGAGACACACAATAATGAGCAGTCTTAGGCCTTCTTTCTGCTTATAACTTGTAATAGTATAGGTTGTCAAACTTGAAAGTTTATGTAAACTTCTCCACAAAATCCACTCGTAAACTCATGTAAGATTTTACTTAATATAAAAATAATATTAAAAATATATAAATGACATATATGTATAAAACATAATACTTCTAATGCAATAATAATTCAACATTTTATCTCCATAGTAATGATAATATTGATTCAATGCTGATAAACCATATAAAATCACAAAACCAGCAATAATATATCACATATATCAGCCACATTGCCATAATATATTACAAGTTTATAACAAAGTCAATCGGGATTCAATCAATTCAGCCTAAATATTATAAAATCACAATTATAACAGAAAAGCTAAATGTCGAAAATAATTGAAGACATTAAGACAAGAGAGACTGATGACTTGAATGAAGCCCAACTTCAACAATGGGTTTTTTATGTTTGTCTTCTACAATGGGTAATCGTGGTCTTCAACTTGAGTGAGGCCTGTAGAGAATGGGTGAGCCTCTTCAACAATGACAAATGGGTATTCGTCTTTGGAGAAAAATGCCAAGAGAATGGATCCTGCAAAGAGATGACCACAGGGAGACTCAACGACTGGGTGTTGCAACGTCTCGTCTTCAAGAATGGTGTTTGACGACAAGAATGAGAATGGTGTTTGACAACAATAATGACTTCTAATTTGGAGATAAAACACATGAAGAGAGAACAGACAAATCAAGCTGAAAGTTCTCTGATCTAGGTGCACCTCGAAACAGGGGAAACAGGTGTTGTTTTTGGCCAAAATTTGGTTGTCCCTGAAATCACAAAATGCTCCGACAATCTCAAGTTTGTACCATTCTAATTGAGCTTGCACAAGTTTGAATGAGCCTATGCAAAAATGATTTTGCAAGGGATTTGATTTAGCTCAATGGAGATCTAGCTTTAATTGCATTTAGCAATCAGCATTTATCCCAGAAGAAAAAAACACTAGTACTAATGTTCCTACCCTGTGTCTATAAAAGTATGCTAAATTAGCTTTGGTTTTTTACTTGCAAGGGTGTTGACTGTCGAGACTGGAATATGAGTCATTGGCTTTTGTTCACTTTTTGTGATTGAGGTTTATTCTTATATAGTTATATAATATTTCCTCTTCCACTGGTCTTTCCTTCATTCTTTCTTTCTCTGATTTGAACTGCCTGTAGGTACATGCAAGCAGTGGTGGACGAGATTGTCTTCAGTAATATTGATCCACTGAAGGTGGTTCAGCTTTCCCTCTAGCATTTTGTATATTTCTATCCACCGATTCCTTTAATCTATTGCTTTGAATGGATTTTGTAGCATCCACGTAGCTGGGGTTTGAGTAAGCTCTTGAAGGAGTTTGTCACTGTTGGTGGAAAGCTGTTGCAAGGTAGGCTCCTTTGCTACAGCTATGGTCCTTCAGTTCCATCTGCAAAAATATCTTGTCCTATTCATTGTGTTTTGGCTCAATCAACTTTTACTATTTTTAATGATGTGCACAACTGGGTTCTGACAGAATCTTTTGGAGTAATTAGTGATGACACTTTGCTAAATTCACTCGGGCTACTGAATGATTTGAGTTCAGTTGATATTGTCAACTTTTCCCTTCCAAATTTGCCAGCACCTCCAAATGCCTTCAGGGGAATTCGTAGAAAGAGTTCTTCATTAAGACGATGGCTTGCTATTTGCAATGATGATTTAATTGGGTAAGTTACTTCGTTTGCTGTAGATATGAAGCTTAATAGAGTTCTAATACTCGCTGACTGCAAGCCTAATGTAGGAATGGGAAATATCAAACAACTTCTAATCTTCTACGCAAGTATCTTGGAGATTTTCTAATTGCTTCATATTTAAATGCTGTTGAAGAGTCTGGTTATGATGAGAGACATGCAAAGGAGATTGAGGTGAGATATTCTGTTCAACTGTTTTTTTCTTGTAATTGAAAATTTGGTTGCCATTTGTAAATTTACTAACTTAAAGAATAGCTGCAAACCTACAGCGAGTAGTGTTAGTGCCATACACTAATCATTTCATATCACAGCATAATTGCATTCAAAGATTTCAAAATCAAGAACAAACATCAAAACATACCATGTTGGGTTCCATATTTGGATTATATACTATCAGACTGTCAGTTGCAATAAGGCACAATAAAAATAGAGCCTAGAGAACGATGTTTGATATAATGACCTAGGTAGGAAATTAAAATAGAGCCTAGAGAGCAATAGTTTAGCTCAGGTTAAGTTGAAATGAAGTGAATGTGCCTAAATATTTTGCACCATTTGCTCGTCAGTATTACCTACTGTTTTTGTAACCCCTAAACATCCACACTCAAAACACAATGAAATTTTGATTGTTGACAATCACTTGGTGATATTAGATTTACAAAGTTATGATCCAAAATCTGTACCACGGGGAAATGATACTACGATAGTACTCCTACTGTCTTACGAGTCATTGCCTATGCTTAAAAGTAGAAAAAGAAAATTTGTCTCGTTACAAAAATAATGAATATAATTATCCCACTGGTTGTTAGTATTAGATGCTGCTTTTTGCTGTGATAAATGCCCCCTCCCTTTCTATTGATTTAAGGGGATATAAATGAACATGGCGCTCCATCATTTGCTTATTGGAGAACCTTTAAATGGTAATTTTGCACTGATACCAAACGTATGCATAAGGAGATTGTTGTTTTCTATTATCTGTTTTGGCTCACAGTATTCTAATTGCCACTTGTTCATCTATATTATTATTTGAAATACAGAGAGCTGTTCTTTTGCAAACTCTTGATTGTTTCTGGAGAGATCATCTTGTAAACATGAATCGGCTCAGCTCTGCGGTATTTTGTCCTTTTGCTCTATTGAATCTTTTTGGCTTTCTTAACGGCTAAAGGCTTATCTCAAGTTGTGGCAGGTGAACGTTAGGAGCTTTGGCCATAGAAATCCTCTTGAAGAGTACAAAATTGATGGTTGTCGGTTTTTTATATCAATGCTCAGTGCAACTAGAAGGTTAACTGTAGAAGCATTGCTGCAGTATTGGACATCTCCAATGGAATCCCAAGAACTATTTTTATCATAAAAGTGGATAATTCAAGAAAATTTAACGAGGCCAATTTTTTGCACAATGCTATTGGTGTTTCAACTAGTCAATTGGTTTGTATGGTGTAGATATACCAAAAGTTAGATGGCTTCAGGAGCTCAGGTTCCTTCATCTCACAGCAGTGTTATCCTTTTTTGCTTTTTCAAAATTACATGGAGTATACCTGGAGGTGCTCATAAAAATGATCTGTTATCACGAGCGTGCACTCTATTACATAGGTATCACTGATAGAATTTTGTACTATCTGCTTTGATCGAGGCATGGAGAACGATTTTAACTCCCCCCCCCCCCCCCCCCCCCCT